TTAATCCCTTTAAAGAAAACATAATCTTCGGAAAGGTGTGAAAGTAAACAATTGTCAGAAGATGTGACATTTAAGGCAATAAAAATTTCGTTTTTTTTATAGGAATAAATAAAAATTTCGTTGATAATGGTAAAATCGTACAAAGCGTGCAAATTATTTTTATATTGATCTATTTTTCATTGGACTTTGTACAGATTGGGAGACAAGATACAGAGATAACCATTTCATCTACGTGTCTTTGATCTCACAAGGAAATGGATATTGTTATTTCAATTGCGTCCAAAATTGCAGAGTCCTTGGTAAGACCAATAGGCAGAGAATCTGGCTATTTGATTTACTATGATACCAACATGAAAGATCTAAAGAATCAACTTAAAAAGCTTTTTGAGAAGAAAGATGGGGTGCAAGAATTGGTTAATGCTGCCAAAAGGAATGGTGAAGTTATCAACTCTGATGTTCAAAGTTGGCTAACAAGTGTTAACGAGTTAATTAAAAAAGTGTCGCATTTTGAGGAAGAAGTCAACATGAAAAGGCAATGCTTGTACCGGTGGAACATAAGTAGGAAAGCCACTAAGATTACACAAGACGTTCTTTATCTCCAAAAAGAAGGAACATTCAATCACGTTGCCCATCCTGCACCTCCACCGATGATATGGTCAACATTCAAAGAAGGTTTTAAGGATTTTAAATCCAGAATGACACATGTGAATAGGGTGATAGAGGTTTTGAAGAATGAAGACGTTAGAATGATTGGGATTTGTGGTATGGGGGGTGTGGGTAAAACCACAATGGTGAAAGAAATCATCAAAAGGCTGGAAGGATTGAAAGCATTCGATAATATTGTGATGGCAGTTGTGTCCCAAAGCCCAAGCATTCAGAAGATTCAATCAGAAATTGCAGAGGAGCTGGGGTTTAAATATGACGAGAATACCGAAAGTGGAAGAGCACGAAGGCTCTACAGAAGACTCATGGAAATAAATAGCATCCTAATTGTATTAGATGATGTGTGGACAGAGCTTGATTTTGAGGCTATAGGACTTCCTTCTCAACTTTCTCATAAAGGGTGCAAAGTTTTGTTGACCTCACGAAACGAGGACGTGTGCAAAGAAATGGGAAGTCAAGAAATTTTTACACTTCCAGTTTTAACACCAGAGGAATCATGGGAACTCTTCCGTGAAATCATAGGTAAACCCTTGGACTATCCTGATTTGGCTAAACGAGTCACAAATGAGTGTGCAGGTTTACCTATTGCTATTTTAACTGTTGCGAAAGCACTAGAAAATAAGAGGAAGTATGAATGGGATGATGCCCTCAAACAGCTACAAAGTTCAGCTCCTGGAAGCATCTCTTCAATGAATGACAAAGTTTATTCAAGCATACAATGGAGTTATGATAGATTGGAGAGTGATGAAGCGAAGTCATGCCTTTTGCTTTGTTGTTTATTTCCTGAAGATTATGGTATTCCAATTGAATATTTGGTTAGATATGGATGGGGTCGAGGGTATTTTAGTAACATTGATTCAGTGGAAGAAGCAAGAAATAGAGTGCATTCTTTGGTTGACAAACTTCAAAGAAGGTTTTTATTGCTAGATAGCAAATTGAAAGACCATACCAAGATGCATGACATAGTTCGTGATGTTGCCATACAAATTGCCTCAAGAGATCCACATAGATTTCTAATAAGATGTGATGCTGAAAAGAAAGGGTGGCCAAAGATATACGACCATTACACAACAATCTCACTGATACCAATTAATATTGATGAGATCCCAGTTGGCCTGGAGTGTCCAAAACTTGAGCTTCTACACTTAGAAGGCAAACGTTATTCGGAAAATAGCATGGACATCATGTGTAAAGGGATGAAAGAGCTGAAGGTTTTAGCATTGGTAGACATGGGTGGGATATCAGCCTTGCCAAGGTCACTAGGACTACTGAAGAGCCTTCGAACCTTGTCCCTAAATGATTGTCTTTTAACAGATATATCTGATGTTATTGGAAGATTGGAAAATTTAGAGATCCTCAGCTTTCTTAATTGCTTTAACATTGTAGAGTTGCCGAGGGAAATTGGACTTCTTAAACATTTAAGGTTGTTAAATATCACGAATTGTTATCGTCTTGAGAAGATTCCACATGGTCTCTTATCGAGCTTATCTAGTCTTGAAGAGTTGTATATGGAAAATAGTTTTCGCAAATGGGAACAATCAGCAGCAGAAAGCGAAGATAAGAGGATGGCAAGCCTTGTTGAGGTGATGTCTTTGTCTAATCATTTGAAGGTTTTAGGCATACATATACCCGATTTCAACTTCTTTCCAAAAGACTTGTACTTGACAATCCAGACAACAATAAGATTCCACATATCCAACAGATTGTGTCCCACAGGACCTGGTTGTTATGCATTTGAAAATAAGTTGGATATTGTTGAAAGTGATGCAACGGAATTCATGGAGATTCAAATTGTTCGTGTCTTATTTAAGAAATGTGAAGATTTAATCTTGGGAAGGATTAAGAATTTAAAGTATGTCCTCAATGAATTAGACCAAGAGGGATTGCAACACTTAAAAGTTTTAACAATTTGGGAGTGCCCCGAGATAGAATACCTTGTAAATGGAGCAAGTTGGACTCAACAAACAGCCTTCCCTCGCATCCAATCAATCAAACTCTGGGGGATGCCCAAGCTAAAAGCAATATGCCACGACCAACTTCCACAGAGCTCTTTTATCAACTTAAGATCTCTTCAATTAGATGATTGCCCTGTTTTAAAATATGTATTTTCTCTATCAGTAGCAAGCAACTTGGTTCAACTCCAAAGCTTAAGTGTTGCCATTTGTCCCCAAATGAAAGAAATCGTCTCAAAGGAGTGGAGGGAACATGAGACGGCATCGGACATCATAGCTTTCCCTAAATTAACAAAGTTGACATTCGAATATCTATCTGATGAATTTGTTGGTTTCTACGAAGCCAACAATGAGGTATGTTACATATATAACTTATTATTTCGATGCTTGAATAGTATAATTGTTTTGTTAATTGTTTGTGCCTCAAATTTTTTATTTTTTTTGGTTTACTTGCCATGAGGTCTGAATTTAGTTTGACTATTATTTACTCATTTTCTTCCTAAAAACTGAAAATATTCTCATATTGATAAATGAGGAATTTAGTTTACTTGCCTTTAAAAAATAAAAAAATAAATAACTGAGCATGTGCAGACCACAAATAAATAAATAAATAATTTAGTCCATTTCATATATTTATTTGTAAAAATTTTGGACTCATTTTTGTTAATGGTCTCATTACATAATATATTTAGAAATCTCGAACTATCTAAAGAAGCAACGAATTTAAGTTGGTTAAAACTTTCATTTTTTTTTTTGCACGCTCAAAATTACGGTCTTAATTGCCACGCTCCAAATTATTTACTGGAAAATTCTTGCCACGTGGAAGCATTTTGTTTGACCTGAGATCACAAAGTCTAGCTTTTATGTGATTATTATTCTGCAAAGCAGAGGAGAGGTTTTGTCTGAACAGCATCAGCATAAAGAATCTAGAAACTGACTAGTCCTCCGATTAAAACTTGGTTTTATTAATATTTTAAATATTGAAGTAATTTAAATAATAATAATTTCATTTTTGAATATACAAAATGTTTCTTTAAATATTTATTAATTAATGAATCTTTTCAGGTAACGGATGGGCCTAAGGATCAAAATGTGGTAGGAACTTTATATGATGAGCATCAACCTTCTAGAAGCTTTGAAAGAGCAGTATTTCCATCAAAGTGCATTTTATGGTTACAAAATCTAGAAAAAGTGCAACTAGTATCAGCATTTTCTCATTTACAAAATGTAGATGTGTTATTTGATCTGAAAGGCCATATGGTTAGGGATGGGTAGGCAGTTCCAGCATTTTCTCATTTACAAAATTTGTACATATGGTTTTCTTCATGTCAACACCTTTGGAAGAACATTCTGCGTGGATTCCAGGGCTTCCAAAACTTAAGATGTTTAAGAATAGAATATGGTCGTGATCTCCAATATGTGTTCCCACATTCAATTGCCAGGCTACTTGAGAATCTTGAAGAGCTCAACATAGCGAAATGCTGGGAAATGGAAACTATAGTCAGATCCGCTGATGAAAATGAAAAAGAGGATCACACGGGCATGACTTTGTTTCCCAAACTAAATAGTTTTGATCTAAAGGGGCTTCCGAGTCTTGAGAGTCTTTGTCCTGATGCTTCTACTTCTTTATGGTTAGCCGCCAAAGTTATGTCTGTGGAAGGATGCTACAAACTGAAGACATTGGCTTCAGTAATTCCACAAATAAAAAAGTTGGAGAAAGATTCAACAGCTCATCACGAAGATGAAGATGAAGGTATTTCATCAGGATCATGTGGATGTACACCTTATTCATGTGGCCCAATGAACAAACCTACTTCAAGAAGAAATATTATTCAAATATTGCCACGTCCAGTCAATCAAGAGGTAAGCTACAATTGAGAATGACAATGATATTGCCATATATTGAAATTATATAAATTATATACGGTTGCTCAATTCATGTTTGATTTTCTAGGTTGCACCAACAAATCTTGATCAAGACTCAAATGATTACGATAATCTAGAACGTCTTTCTGTAAAATATTGTGAGTCATTGGAAGTTGTTTTCCAACTCAAGGGACCAAAGGCTGTGGAAAGCCACAATGTTCAAGCATACAAATTGCCAAGTTTAATGCACGTATGGGAAACGGGCGGTTCACATCATATCACAGGCTTCGGAAACTTGACATTCTTAAGTGTATCCCACTGTGGCAGTTTGCGATATTTGTTCTTGTCAACTATGGCCAAGCTCCTTGTCAGTTTAAAGGACTTAGAAGTTGAGAATTGTGAGAAGATTGAACACGTTATTGCAGAAGCAGACACTGAATGTGCTGATCAGGAAATTACATTTCCTCGACTGAATTCCATGACGCTTGAAGATCTACCAAACCTCATTTGTTTCTCTACTGAAGCTTATACTTTGAAGTTGCCATCTTTGATGGAATTGAATGTTATAAGATGTCCAGATTTAAGAACATTTGCTTCTAAGATTGTCAACACACATTCTAGAATCCAAGTACACACAGAGTTGGGATAGTCTGAGTGGATGGGGGACCTCAATAGCACTATAGGGAACATTCACGAAAAAAGGTATGCTCCTGAATGTTTACTGGTGTTTAGTCAATAAAGTAACAATAAAAGTCTTTCTTTTTCAAACCTGATTTCATCTCAATAATACACATTCTTTTCTTTTGAATAGGAGACCGAATTCTAATGAGATAGTAGAGATATGATGTTAACACAGAGAAGTGCAGAGGTGAGTATATATATGTTGCCATCTCCAACTTCTATATTAAGTAAATCTTATTACTAAAAACAATATGCCATATTATGTCATATTAAGGAAAGAATTAAATTGAGTTAGCATGATCAAATTAGATTCTAATGATATAAACAAAGAAAATTACGTGTGAAGATTGTTTAAGCTTCGATTTGACAAGAATTTACAATGTATTTCATTTGTGTTTGAGGTTATGTTAATTCAAGTGTTCTATCATTGCGATATAGTGGACGAAAACAAAACAAACAGCCTACTTTTGATGTGGTATCTCATTAGAGAATCTCCAATGGGCTCCTCCCTAAATGAGATTCTAAGTTAAAATTTAGAGTGAATGTCAGGAACCCAACTCCAAAAATGCTCCTGTCTTGATCCTAAAATAAGGAGACCCCTGGGTGCTCTAAAATATTAGAGAGAAATGTACACTTATATTTCTACATCGTTCTCTTGACCCCCTCTCTTTTGTTGAACAAAATACTTCTTCTTGCAAGTCAAATCACACAAAGGAAATCATTAAGACGGGATTTCTAGATGGCTAGGATTTACATTAATTGGGTTTCTGATAGGTTTCTTTAATGTATTTTGTGTCTCCATCTGATGATATATAGGAATTGAAGGAACTTTTCTGTTTTTAGTGATATGATCATGTTTTTGTTTTGTTAAATTATACTGATAGGAATACTAGTCAGCATGGTCACATTCTTTACTGATAGGATTCTCACATTTACCGCATTGGATGAACACTTTCAATGTGGTGTAACTTATTGTGTTTAGAAGTTCATACATCCTTCTCTTTAGCTCTAGAGTGTTTTGTATATTGCCTTTTTTTTTTCCAGTTGACAAAATTTCGTACTGAGACTGGCCACCATTTGTCACTTTCCATTTTAGTATAAGCTGATGAGTATTATTTTTCTAGTTTAATATTGTTTCCCTATTTTCAGCACATTGATGAGGAGGTTGAGTTCTGCTCTGAAGAATTTTATGAGGATGTGCATACAGAGTTAGTTCTTCAAGTTTGGAATAGCAAGTTGCAATTCTACATCGCAAACCTCACCAATTCTTGAGAAACAATCCCATTTCAATTCAAAGTGTGTTGAAGTGTATTATAATTCATGTACTGGATTTCATTTGTGTATCATTCGAATGTTTGAGCAGATTTGATGGTTAAAGCTTAAGTTCATGTATTTTTTAGAGTTATCAAGGATTGATGTTAAATTGTCTCTTCAAATAAGTAGTTCTTGAAGATCCCTCTGCTTCAATTTTTTCTACTTTGTTAGCCGAATACAACATCAAAACTTCATAACCTCTCCTACATATCTTTCATTACTACTCAAAGTTACTAATCAAAATAATAACACAGAATTCCAGTGTTGTTGCAGACATAAAGACTTGCGGCAAAAAGCTTTCTCTACTACAATTGTTAACATTGCATTTCCTTCATTGCTACACAAATCTTGAAGATTTTTTTACTGGAATTTTGCCAAATGAAGCCTAGTTCAAATTCAATGAATAAAACAAGATTCAACTAATACCAAATTCAGAAGCATTGATGACAAATTTCTCATCAATGGGGTTAATTTTTCGTTCTTCAATTTCCCATCAATGGGATTAATAATTTTTCAATGTCACCAAAATTAACATATTAAAAAACTTTGGTTGATCACTTGGTTTCAAGATTTCAGAGAGAGACTAGCAGCCCACACCCAGTATGTATGGAGTTTTATCACAAAGATTCGGTATCGGTACTATTAATAGTAGAACGGCTTAATATATATATTTTTATAGTAAATTGAGCTTAGACCCATAAAATTCATTTTCAATCACTTACAACCCTTTCCTTTATTTTTCTATTTAAAATACCCAATTTTTTCAAATGAAACCCAATGACTAGGATTCAAGTAAGCAAGTTATCTAATCTAGCTTAAAATATGATTTATTCTATTTTTCGGATTCCAAAACTACCCCTATTTACAAGTTAACGTGTTATGTGGGGGTGTAATTAATGACACACATTGAATTTGGAAAGATCTTCAAATGGTTGTAATGGATGTAGGAATTAATTTAGAAACTTATTTGAAATTAAATTCAACGTTAACGTATTAGTAATCTACATGTGATTAACGTTTTGGTTTATTTAATAAAAAAATTATGTTCTTTTCCTTTTATGAAATGTACTACTAGTAATCTATTTTATTATAGTTTTATGAATAATAGTGTACATTCTAATTATGTTGAAAAATAATTTGATAATCTATTTATTGTTTGTTTTATGAAAAAAAAATATTTTTTTAAAATGAACCTATTTTTTCTCTAAATAATGCACCTATTTTTTTCTTCCAATAATGTACCCTTTTTTCTCTGAATAAAGTACCTTTTATTTGTTTTATGAAAAATAATTTGATCATATTTTTATTGTTTGTTTTATGAAAAACAATTTTTTTTTAAATGAACCTATTTTCTCTCTCTAAATAATGTACCTTTTTTCTTCTTCTCTAATAATGTACCTAGTAAAACAGTGTTCCTATATATTTTTTTTAATAAACCTATTTTCTCTCTCCAAATAATGTACCTTATTTTTTCTCTAATAACGTAACTAGTAAAACAGTGTACCAATTTTGTTTTTTAATTGAACCTATTTTTCCGCTCCAAATAATGCACCTATACACATTTACAGGTATATTGTAAAATAATTTACCTATGAGTAAATAATGTACCTATATTTTCTATAAATTATTGTGTACCTATTTTTAATTTAGGAAAAGTGTACGGAAATTTCAATTACAAAGTAACTGACTTAATTGTTTTTTAATTTTTTTGGTAAATAATATACCTATATTTTATTTAAATAATATATTTATATTTTTATACGTATATATTTTTATTTTTATTTTTCATAGGTACATTATTGGATATGTAATTTACATATATATATTTTTTTGGGAAATGGCGCTTAATGCCACCATTTTTTTAATTTTAACTGGAAATACCACATTTCCCCACAAATTTACAAATATCACCTATAAATACATACTTATTGCCCACTTATCGACTAGATAACACTTTTGGTTAGTTTTTGGTTTCTCTCTCTCTCTCTCTCTCTCTCTCTCACTCACTCTAGTTAAGTACGCCTCTTCTCACGAAGAAGAAGAACAATAACAACTTGCAAAACCCACAGCTTTGCCCTCAAAACCCAATTCTTCCTCTTCCTCTCTGTTTTCTTCTCTACCCAAATCCAAACTCCAACTTCGTCTCTCTTCGAATCCCTTACGCAACCTAAACAAACCCAAACAAAACCATCTTTTTTGAATATGACAGCATGTCTTGGCATTAGGTGGCCATTGTTTGAGCATTTTTGTCCAATTTTAGGGGGTTTTGAAGTCAGGGTTTACATGCCCTCTTCAAGAACAGCTTCTCCAGATAATGAATTGTTGGGAATATGTAATTTTTGATGTTAAATTGAATTTGATTACTGAAATTGGAATTGTGATTGATTTCGTCTATATTTTGTGTAGAAAGTGAAGTATTGTGATTGATTTTATTTGTTTGAAACAACAAATGTGTTTGTTCTTTGTCAATTGATTCTTGCATTTGGTATTGGGATTTTCTATGAACTTTTTATGATTATATCATAGTGAGGTAGCATTGTTGATTTGTTATTGCAATTGTATTGTGATTGTGTTGTAGTGGTTCACACTCGAGTCCGCTTGTACACCAAGAAGAAAACAGCAACCAATCACAACACCAGCATGGTATATACCAAAGGATCGAAATCAAGGGAGTGGAGAGTTAACTCTCTCACTATCTCTCTCTTCGTGAAAATATCTAGGAGTACTTCACAGATAAGCATTTCATCGGTACTTTCCACCTCCATATAAAAAAAGGTGCCACTTGTAGTAAGTGAAAATAATGATTCACATAATTTATATAGAGATGTTGCTAATTTCTCAGGTTTTTTTAGTGACTTACTGGTCTGATTGGTACATAAGAAAATTCTCTCTCAAAGATTGAGGTCCGAAACATCAAATCTTTCTCTCATAGGTTGTTCTGGTGGCTTAGGGCCTTGACCAGTCACTCTCACATAATCGATTTGCATTTCTAGTCACATGTAGCACAATTAAGTTCAAGCAAAGCTGAAAAGAGTGCCAACGGCCATGATTGGAGATATTTTCATCTCACTTGAACTTTGCGAAGATTTTCCTATGGATACAAATGTTGAGATGGTAAGTTTTTCTCTTTTTTTTCTTGATAGAGATAAAGACACAGGAAATATTTGAAAAAAAGGAACAATGAAGGACGGTAGGGGAACGATGGTAGGAGGGAGGTGGAACAATGTGTATGGACTACTTTAGAAAATGAAAACTAAAACCAACAATAACTTTAAGTTATTTTTCACTTTCAAGCTTTAAATTTGTTTCATTTTCATTCTTTCACTATGCAATCTTGGTTTATCTATGCCTAGGCCGAGACGAGGAGAATCACAAGATCAACACCACCGAATAGAAAACGGAATTAAGTCTTCATATATTGTTGAATGTAGCAATGATATTTCAGAGGTGAATATGCATGCAGGGTATTGATGGTGAACTAAAGGAGCTGATATGGTAGTCATTTGAATTTACTAAGGAAGCCAGGATGAAAGAATTTTTGAAGTTAGCCTATGACAACCTGATGAACAGAAACCCTAATTTTTTTGTTAGAAATGAGAGACAGGCACTACAAGGAAAAACACTTTTGGCGACCACCACTTTTGGTCGCTAAAAGCTGTAAATTCGTCGCCAAACCCCTTTAGCGACGAAATAATTTCGTCGCAAGCTTGGTCGCCTAAGGCTCGTGGCTGAAAGTAAAAGTGACAAAAGGCGACGAAAAAAAAATTTCGTCGCCAAAACCTTTATGCGACCAATTGGTTTCGTCGCCTTACAATGATCAGTTGGTCGCCTATAAAGACAGGTTCCCGCAAAAATACCAAAATTTGCCGCGAACTGAGAAAGGATTGTACGACCAAATAGATTGGTTCGTCGCCAATAGTTTTTGGTGACTACCAGATTTGGTCGCTGAGGCTTACTTAGTTGGTCACTAAAATATGTATGTTTAATTATTTTATTTATATTATATTTTATGATAATATTAA